TGGCTGTCCATCTTCCCTCGATCTCGTCGTTGTGGCTGTCCATATTCCCTTGATCTTGTCGTCGTGGCTGTCCATCTTCCCTCGATCTCGTCGTCTTGTCGCCATCTCTCCTACCATGCTACTACCCTTACCACCAACCACCAATCCTTCAGCCTCTAATAAACATTATGCACCTTTCTATGGCCATGTTCGGATGCTGACCTTTCGTTTTATGCTTATTGTAACTCTTAACTCGTTCGTTGTGGCTGTGCATCTTCCTTTGAACTTGTATTACTGCCATGTCTCTCTCTATATTACCATCTTTTCCTACGCACCACCAACTCCTCGGCCTCTAATAAAAATTTGGTGCTTATCTATGCTCTTGGTCGGATGCTATATTTTTATTTTATACTAATTATAACTCTTAACTCGTTCATTGTGGCTATCCATCTTCCCTTGATCTCGTTGCATTGTTGCCGTCTCTCCCACTATGCCGCCATCTTTGCCACCAATCACCAATTCCCCAGCTTCTACTAAACATTTGATACCTTACCACGTCCTTGTGCGGATGCTAACCTTTTGTTTCATACCTATCATACCTCTTAACTCGTTCGTTGTGGCTGTCTATGCTCCCTTGCCTTGCCGTCTTGCTGCCATCTCTCCTACCACGCCGCCACCTTTGCCGCCAACCACCAGCGCTTCACACTTGAATAAACATTCTACACCTTTCTATGGCATTATCGGGATGCCAATCTTTCGTTTCATGTAAATTATAGCTCTTAAGTCGTTCGTTGTGGCTATCCACGTTCCTTTCATCTCGTCGTCTTGTTACTATCTCTCCCACCACTATACTACCTTTGCCACCAATCACCACTCCCTCAGCCTCTAACGAACATTTGGTGCCTTTCCATGGCCTTATGCGGATGCTATCTATTCGACTTATGCAAATTACAACTCTTAACTCGTTCGTTGTAGCTGTCTATCTTCCCTGGGTCTCGTCGCATTGTTGCCATCTCTCCTACTATGCCGCCACCTTTACCACCAATCACCAATTCCCCAGCCTCTGCTAAATATTTGGTACCTTTCCACGTCCTTCTGCGGATGCTAATCTTTTGTTTTGTGTAAATTGTAACTCTTAACTTGTTCGTTGTGGCCGTCTATCTTCCCTTCATCTCGTCGCATTATCGCCATCGTCGCCTGATCTCTTCCAATTGCCGCAATCCACCAACATGGCAAATTCCTCCCTACAACTTCGCAGCCTTCACAACCGCACTCCTCCCTTACTCCCTATCCTCCTGAAATTCTTGCTCCTTCGTCTGGACCCTTCATTTGGCTCTATCATCGTGCTGCGTCGTCTTGCTCATTTGTCTTGTTGTATCGTCTTGTTGCGGCGTCGTGCTCTACGGTCTTGTTCCTTCGTCTCGCTGCATCGTCTTGCTGCGTTGCCTTACTCTATGGTCTTGCTTCTTCGTCTCGCTGTATCATCTTGCTACGTCGCCTTACTCTATGGTCTTGCTCTTTCGTCTTCCTCCTTCGTCTTGCTGCGTCGCCTTGCTCCTTCGTCTCGCTG